ACCCTCACCCCCCCCCCCTTGATTCTGACTTTTCTCCCATGGCTCCTCACACCCTCCCCCTGCCTCCTTTGCTGGTTTTGCTCATTGTCTGCCTCCCCACTGAACCAGGAGCTCCAGGACAGGAGGGTCTGCATCCGTCCTACCCACTGCTCCTGGCCACACCCAACCTATCAAGGTTTGTTCAGAGACCAATTGAACAAACCCAGGAGTGAACGTGCAGTGTCCTTCCACACCCGCTGACGACAGGGCTCACCACTGCTAACCCTGTGTGGCTGACAGCCCGAGGCCAGAGCCAACAGGTGGGAGGGGATGGTTCGCGCCAGGTACCATGCTGGCCACGGCATGAGCTGCATCCCGTGGAGTCTCTGGGAAGCCCTGCCTGAGGACAGACACCCCACTTCTCCTCCACTTTTTGGGTGAGAAAAAAGCTCAGCAAAGTCCCAGGATAGTTGCCATCAGGTACGAATCGAGCCAGGGTGTCTGCCTCAGAAGCTCAGGACACAGGCCACTCCCTTCCCTGCCGCTGCCCCTGTCCTGTGCCAGCTTGAGGCGCCGGAACTCTGGCAGCCACAGGGACAGCAGCCCACATCCCCACTCACTAGGCACACTGGGGAGTGGCAAAGGCCCAGACCTGTGCCTGTTTCCCATCAGGAAACCCCTCGGCCCTGGCCCTGAAGGGAGGTGAGGACAGCTTCTCTGGGTTCCACTGACCATCTGCTGACCTAACTTCAGCTCTCATTTTCCAGGACTCACAAGTAAACTCAAGAGTCAAGTCAGGGAAGGATGCATTCCAAGAATGCTTTGCACAGGTTTCAGATTCCACATCTTCAGCAGGAATGAAAGCATCAGATGTGCCTGCACTGTTCCATGCCCCAGCGTTCACAAGACTGCGACACAGAAAACATTTCAAAGTGACAAGACCTAAGGTGCAGAAAGAGCCAGCACTCGGAGCCACACTCCTGTGCAGGGAGCCAAAGTCTCTAGGCCCCACAGGTTGTAGAGTAAGAACTCAAGAAATGCTACAAAGCACCAGCCTGATTTGAAACTAACTCATTCTTGGAGGCCTCTCAAATGCAGCCCAAAAGTACTACCTACTTTTAAATTCATGTCTTCCAAACACAAAGCAACAGTAAGCTAAATACCTTCATTCTAAGAAAAGCTTTCACTCCATTCTTGATGAACTAGAACAGCAAAATGAAGCAGCATATAGTTATACAAGACACATCTACACAGAGGTTTTCACCAACAGTGTACGAGACCCCACGAAGTCGACACCACATGCCACACATTCTCCTCCTGGCCTTCCAGCACGGTGGTGCTGAGCCTGGTTAGGACAACACCCAGGCCAGCCGCCTCTGATTGTAGCTCTAACTGCACTTCGCCTACTTACCTGGCTGCCACGATTTCAAAGGAGAGGGGACACAAAGCTCCTACACTTCAAATCTACTTCCCTAGAAAATTTACGGAAAGATCACTGGTAGTGTGGAAAGGGGAACTGGGCTCCTATGCAAAGTGAGTGCTACCGAATGCCCGGGGTGAACGCTAGATGTGCTGCAAGCCCTGCCTGATGCCTAGCCCAGCGAGGACTGCCAGCCCCAGCTAAACACAGCCTGAAGTGCTGCCTCACCTGCAATGAACTGCTCATACTCAATGACTGGGATGTTTTTATTGAGACTCGGAAGATCAAAAAACTCAGACCAGGGAATCCGGACCTGATGGATGTCAGGACTCTGCCGGTGATAGAGGCGGCCCCACGGGGGCAGAACAAGNCCCCTACCCCCAACACTCACCCCCCCCACTTGATTCTGACTTTTCTCCCATGGCTCCTCACAACCTCCACCTGCCTCCTTTGCTGGTTTTGCTCATTGTCTGCCTCCCCACTGAACCAGGAGCTCCAGGACAGGAGGGTCTGCATCCGTCCTACCCACTGCTCCTGGCCACACCCAACCTATCAAGGTTTGTTCAGAGACCAATTGAACAAACCCAGGAGTGAACGTGCAGTGTCCTTCCACACCCGCTGACGACAGGGCTCACCACTGCTAACCCTGAGTGGCTGACAGCCCGAGGCCAGAGCCAACAGGTGGGAGGGGATGGTTCGCGCCAGGTACCATGCTGGCCACGTCACAAGCTGCATCCCATGGAGCCTCTGGGCAGCCCTGCCTGAGGACAGACACCCCACTTCTCCTCCACTTTTTGGGTGAGAAAACAGCTCAGCAAAGTCCTAGGATAGGCACCATCAGGTACGAATCGAGCCAGGGTGTCTGCCTCAGAAGCTCAGGACACAGGCCGCTCCCTTCCCTGCCGCTGCCCCTGTCCTGTGCCAGCTCAAGGCACCGGAGCTCTGGCAGCCACAGGGACAGCAGCCCACGTCCCCACTCACTAGGCACACTGGGGAGTGGCAAAGGCCCAGATCTGTCCCTGTTTCCCATTTGGCAAAGGCCCAGACCTGTGCCTGTTTCCCATCAGGAAACCCCTCGGCCCTGGCCCTGAAGGGAGGTGAGGACAGCTTCTCTGGGTTCCACTGACCATCTGCTGACCTAACTTCAGCTCTCATTTTCCAGGACTCACGAGTAAACTCAAGAGTCAAGTCAGGGAAGGATGCATTTCAAGAATGCTTTGCACAGGTTTCAGATTCCACATCTTCAGCAGGAATGAAAGCATCAGAAGATGTGACTGCACTGTTCCATATCCCAGTGTTCACAAGACTGACTGCGACACAGAAAACACTTCAAAGTGACAAGACCTAAGGTGCAGAAAGAGCCAGCACTCAGAGCCACACTCCTGTGCAGGGAGCCAAAGTCTCTAGGCCCCACAGGTTGTAGAGCAGGAACACAAGAAATGCTACAAAGCACCAGCCTGATTTGAAACTAACTCATTCTTTGAGGCCTCTCAAATGCAGCCCAAAAGTACCACCTACTTTTAAATTCATGTCTTCCAAACACAAAGCAACAGTAAGCTAAATACCTTCATTCTAAGAAAAGCTTTCACTCCATTCTTGATGAACTAGAACAGCAAAACAAAGCAGCATAAAGTTATACAAGACACATCTACACAGAGGTCTTCACCAGCAGTGTACGAGACCCCACGAAGTCGACACCACATGCCACACATTCTCCTCCAGGGGAAATAGCCTTCCAGCATGGTGGTGCTGAGCCTGGTTAGGACAACACCCAGGCCAGCCACCTCTGATTGTAGCTCTAACTGCACTTCGCCTACTTACCTGGCTGCCACGATTTCAAAGGAGAGGGGACACAAAGCTCCTACACTTCAAATCTACTTCCCTAGAAAATTTACGGAAAGATCACTGGTAGTGTGGAAAGGGGAACTGGGCTCCTATGCAAAGTGAGTGCTACCGAATGCCTGGGGTGAACACTAGATGTGCTGCAAGCCCTGCCTGATGCCTAGCCCAGCGAGGACTGCCAGCCCCAGCTAAACACAGCCTGAAGTGCTGCCTCACCTGCAATGAACTGCTCATACTCAATGACTGGGATGTTTTTATTGAGACTCGGAAGATCAAAAAACTCAGACCAGGGAATCCGGACCTGATGGATGTCAGGACTCTGCCAGTGATAGAGGCGGCCCCACGGGGGCAGAACAAGCACCCACTCCTCCGTCTTCAGCAGAGTCTTCAGGAGGGAGGCAACACGGATATAGACGTCCCTGCGAAGGTTGAAGCCTTCCGGGGGATTGACATCATACAGAAGGTACCTGAGCAGAGGAAGCAGGACACAATGCTTGAGTGCTGAGGTGTCTGCTCAGACCCGGCCGGCTCACAGTCCTCAGCACCGCTAGCCTCCAGGTGCTTTCTAAAGTGAAGGCAGATGCCCACCCATTCTATATGACCAATTACTTACAGAGCCCATGGGAGGTGCAGCAGACATCTTGGCATCTGTCTAACAACTAGCAATCATTCAAAACTAAGACTAGCAAAACAGCAGCGACTAGACCCTGAGAATCTGCTCCAACAGCTCTGAAACTGCTTGGTCTGAAGACTGCTTTACACTACACAATCACTGACGCCTCCACAAGGCTGTTGTTTATGTGAGTTAAATTCACTGATAGCTCCTATATTAGAAGTTAAAGCTAGAAGTATTTATTAATTCACTTAAAAATAATAATAAACCCACTACATGTTAACAAAAAATAACATTTTTAAGTGAAAAATAAGTACAGTTTTCAAAACAAAAATAATTAACAAGTAAAGTGACAATGTTCATTTTTGCAAATCCCCTTTGGATCTGGCGATAACTGGATGCTCCGTGTCTCTGCAATCAGTCTTGCAGTGTCATAGGACAGGTTGCCTCTGAAAACCTCCACCTGCACTACTAGCCAGAGAAGTGGAGAGGTGTTACCGCCAACGGTTCTGAAACCTGGTGAAACCCGCGCTACTGAGGCAAGAGCCCCCTGTGTAAAACTCCCGGGCAGGGGTTCTGCGAAAACCCTGTTCCTGCTGTTTTCGCCCCTTCCCTGTACAAGCTTTCCCACAGACTTCCGTCACTGCCGGTGAAGCCCTGCGCAACCTCCGACCCGCAAGGCTGCGCACACTGGCGCAAGAGTCCGCCCCCATCCCCACATTCCCGCTGCAAGCGCGGGGGGCTCTGTGACAAGCTCTTATGTGCTCGGCGGCAGCCAGGCTTGTCGTATCCCTGAGACTCGTCTGCGGAACCGCCGACATCTGGACGGAGACCGATCCCAGCAGATGCGCGGAACCGTCCGACGAACCCGACCACGGGCTCCGCGTACCCAGCCGTGGGTCCGCGACAGCGAGCAGGCGCGGGGCTCCCCCCTCCACCGACCCCCGATCCCCGCCGCCCCCGACCCCGGCCCCTGACGCCAGCCGCCCTCGACCCCCGACCCCACCGGCTCC